TTTTGTAATAAAGAAAATTCTTGAATTAATACACCCCAATGCGTTCTGATTTCTGAAAGATGAGTTGTGAGTAACTAAGTTGGTCATTTGTATGTTTAGCAAAATGTGAGTAACTAAGTTGGTCATTTGTATGTTTAGCAAAATGTATCCAAGTTCTAGCAGTCTATTTTTGCGGTACTTCTATCCATTAGCCCGAAGCCTGCTAGGGTTAGGGTTAGGTCCTTTTATCAGTAGCCCATTTAAATTAGGGCTTTTTTTGCCCGGACCGTTTAGCCCGAAGCCCGTTAGGGCTAGCCCAAAACTGCTAGGGCTAGCCTGTTTAACATCTCTAAGTGGGTATATGGGGTAGAAAAGATGAAACAGAATCGAGGCGAAACACTGCTGAACTTTCCCGAATGTCCATGACTAAACTTCGCTTCTATGACTGAACTTCGCTTCGTCAATTACATCGAACCTCTACCCGACTTTCTTTGTTTTTAGTAAGGAAAATCACTTTCTTTCCGATTCTGTTAGTGATTAGTGATCCCGAATCGAGCCTGATGCCTAGTCGAGATTATTGCGTTGGATTGATCAGCGGAGTAGTAAACTCTTTTGACGGACGGAGTGCCTATTGAACATGGAAACATGACCTGCTGTGCCGGTTGAGGTTTAAGCTTTTCTCGTTGTAGTCCACGGACTTTGCATATGCAGTTATATTACTTGCATTTGCAGGATTGTTTGTATTTCTACTATTTTCCACTAAGAGATACACTTTTCACGGACTCATTCAAATATATATTTCATATAGAAATAATTCGTGCATGATGTTGACAGTATATGAGTGGCATTTGGAGGCTTGTATTTTCTTTTTCTAAATACCATAATTTGGAAGTGCCTATAAGATGGGATAGAGAAGATAAAAATGAAACATAGACGGATAACAATTCTTATATGGATATGGCTTTAACTTACATGACTTGCATTTTCAAGGATTTTGTTTTTCTATTCCCTATTTACACTGAAGAAGTTCATTTTTCACGGACTCGACCGTTTCATTTATATGTTTCATGTAGAAATGGCTGAGAAGGGAGGCGTAATTGTTCCCGAGTCTGTGCTAAAGAAACAGAAGAGGAGCGAGGAATGGGCTTTGGCCAAGAAGCAGGAGCTTGTTGTTGTGAAGGAAAAGAATGCTGCAAACAGAAAGTTGATTTTCAATAGAGCCCAGCAATATGCCAAGGAATACACGGAGCAGGTGTGATTGATTGAGTGGTCTATTTGTTTCATTTATTTTTCTCCAGCTATTGTGAGCTTCTTTTACTGTATTAATTATACTTCGGCTGTTGCACATTTTTTGATTTTATTTATTTACTTATTTAATTATTTATTTTTTGGTCTTTAGGAGAAGGAGCTGATTCAGCTGAAGCGCGAGGCAAGACTGAAGGGAGGGTTTTATGTGAATCCTGAGGTTAAGTTGCTTTTCATCATTCGCATTCGTGGGTATGTAGTTGTTTTTTTACGTAGACTCGACTTCATGGACAATTTGATGATTAATATCGTTTGGTAACTTGGTTTTTTATATATTTATGTTCTCTGATCTCAGTATTAATGCCATGCACCCGAGGACTAAGAAGATCTTGCAGATCTTGCGTCTTCGGCAGGTGAAGAGTAGATCCCTTTTTTTCTGCCTGAATGTTGTCATTATTATTATTATTTTTTGTGATAACAAGTTGGAAAAAAGATAGTCTTTAAATGATTTACCAGTTATAATATCATTTTTTTCAAGTTTTTTTTTAATCGCGGTTACATTTCTTCCATGATAAACAATTACACATGTTAGTTTCAGACACAAATTTTTTTACGTTTTATTACAATTTCCTTGGTCCTAAAAGTACTCTGAATCCATTACTATATTCTAATTAATGCAGATTTTCAATGGCGTGTTCCTAAAAGTTAACAAGGCAACAGTGAATATGCTTTACAGGGTTGAACCCTACGTAACCTATGGGTATGCATCTCAATATTGCTGCCCCTCGAACTATTTTCCCACTAGTTTGCGTGTCAACTTATGAGCATACAATGTGCTTTGCTTAGGTACCCCAACTTGAAGAGTGTGAAGGAACTAATTTACAAAAG